AACAGAAGGCTTTGTTTTCAGGGAGAGAAACTTTGAGCATGCTTGTCAGCAGGAGGCAGGGCACCAGTGGCTGTAAAAGGGCAAATGGCAGAGAGAGGAGATCACCGGGGAAGCAAAGGCTTAGACGACATGGGAAGGATGGGATCATGAACACTGTCTGAAGTCAGAATCGTGTTTCTTGGAAAGAAGATAAGAGAGGTAAAGATAAATTCAGGATGAGGAAAGAGTAAGCTGATAAAGGATAGTCCAGATTTCCTCAGTACTGTGGAAGCTAGAATAGATTGCAGGAAGAATATAGCAGGGAATGTAGCCAGGATGCTGTTGCCAGAATCCAGGGTAAGGTGAGGCATGCTTGGATTGGGAACATTAGTGTGAAATGGAGAAGGAGAAGACACAGCTGCAGATATGGATGCATCCCAAAAGCAAAAGCAATGTATCCTGGGGCCTTCATAAACAATAGTAGGTGAAAAATAGAAAATAAATGAAGTTTTAAATTAGAGCGAAGTTTAAAGTAGAGCGAATACTACTTCAGAAAGCAATACACAGACAAGTGAGGTGATATTTCAAGAGAACAAGTCTGAGTTTAATCTTGTCATGCTGAGTTTGAGGTAATGGTAACACATAAAAGTGAGAATGTTGACATTTCACTGGTTATTTCATTCATCATGTATTTACTTGGGGCCTGCTATGTTCCTGATTATCTTTGGGGGACTGGGAAATAATGGCGGGCAAGACACACATGGTCCCTGCCCTCACCAAGCTTAAAACTTACATGGCAAGACAGACAGGTAACAGGGCACTGGGATCAATCAGGTGAGAATTCAGACACTGAAAATACTCGCTTCTTACAAACCTGGGGGCGGAGAAAAGGCAAGAGCCTGCTCTGGACTGACCAAAAAGGAGAGCCCTCATTCTACATTAAGGGGAAATAAACATGGCCAGGCGTGGTGGCTCATGCCTGTAATCCCAGCACTTTGGGAGGCTGAGATGGGCAGATCACGAGGTTAGGAGATCGAGACCATCCTGGCTAACACAGTGAAACTCCCTCCCTCTGTACTAAAAATACAAAAAATTAACCAGGTGTGGCGGTGGGCGCCTGTCCTGTAGTCAGCTACTCGGGAGGCTGAGGCAGGAGAATGGCCTGAACCCAGGAGGCAGAGCTTACAGTGAGCCAAGATCGCACCACTGCACTCTAGCCTGGGCCACAGAGCAAGACTCTATCTCAAAAAACAAACAAACAAACAAACAAACAAAAAAAAACCCCACAAGATGAGAATGTTAGAAAATGCGAAAGTGATTTCCAAGCTATTCATAAAGCTGTAATACATTGGCAAAGAGTGAGAACTAAAGCAATCTTGAAAGCCTTAACAAGTTGGAAACATGAGAAAGAAAAAATAAACTATTAATGGTGAAATAAATTTCACCAAAGCTTTCTTTCAAATTGAGGCTCTATTGAAGACAAATGTGTACGCTCTTCCATTCAAAACCCATTAAGAATAAAAACTGTAAATGAAGCACATCTGCTCTCCAATGTGAACTCAGAAAAGAATCTTAAAGCATGGGAGACCCATACAGACCCTATACAAATAGGTATAGAAACATGCACCACCAAGGATAAATTGACATTTCATTGATACTTCCAAGCTAAAAACAAAACAAAAACAACGAGGGTTTTCTAACTGGAAACTTACAACCTAAGAGCTTTGATGTACAAAGTCCATAGTCAAAATCTAAAAACAAATTTTTCTAAGTTATTTGCATAGGATAAATGAGGCTGCACAAACCAATGTAAATCATTTTTTTAAAAAAATCAGACTGTACAGAGGGAACCAAATATCAATGAATTAAAATGATACCAATTGGTGTTCCTGTAGCAAGCCAAGTGTATTCAGATTGCAATGGTTTTGTAAAAAGATACTTCTAAAGGAAAACTTTAGCTGTATTAATCTTCCAATTTTCAGGAAATAACCATCATTTTTAGCTATTATTGCTGATGCTAACCTACTGGATTAGTCTAAATTCTAAAAAGATTCTGCATGAACATATGAGGGTAGATTTCTCCAAGTCTAGTCTGCTGCTAATTACACTAATTTTAGTTCTGGCAGATTTATGTGGATGCTTCTAATATGTACAGTACTTCCAGGCTTTTAAATCAGGACTATTATTTTTTCCTCAAACATCACAAAGACTTTAAATGTCAGTTTATTAACTATGCTCATTAGGGAGAAAGGAAGCCCAGGGAAATGAAATTTACAAGTACTCCAAATACTCCTTTTTAGTCATTACTGTTTAATTCTTCCCTTCAACTCATGTCCTGATGGTTTCCCACTTTGGTCAAGAATATCTTGCTTGTCATTATTGTATCTTTCAAAAGACTTTATTCAAAATGAAATTATCGATTTCGAATATTGTGATTTGATGTGCATAATTCCATCTATTTGATAAGAGTAGAGGCAGGGTGTGTGTGCAAGGGGGTGAGGGTAAGATCCATGTGTGGTCTGAGTAGCTTGGGCCTTAGAGTCAATGGCCTGGGTTAGAATCCTAGCTCCATTAGGTCATCTGTCCTAACTTTCTCTATATTCATTATCTCCAGGTGCTGTCAAGCCATGGAAACATCTATCAATTAGAATCAGTTGTCAGATAAATTATTTCACAGTAACAATTTAGTGAATTATTGTCAGTAAGACAAAGTGAAATTGGGGGACAGGCTTGAGTGCAGGAGGAAGAAATTACTCCAAATTTCCGTTTGCCAGGTTACTGAACCTGTTGAAACAAGTAGTCCTACAGATTTATCAAGCAAGTTGAGTAACCCTTAAAATCAGGTTGCATTTTGCTGTAAAACTACCAAATTTCCTTTCTTCCTTTCTCTCTTCTTCCTTCCTCTCTCCATAACTTTCTATCAAGATAATTTTTAAAAAGAAAAAGAACAATCCATAAATGTTTATTTTCTCAGCATTAGTAGCCTAGACCAATCCATTAGGAATCTGAATTATCATGTTCTTTCGAGTCCATTTTCCAAACAAAATAAGTCATGGGGTTAGTGGTGGGTGAAATAAAAAATATTTCAGATTCTTTGAAACATTTCAAAATTATTTTTCAAAAAATTGGGTTTTGGAAATATCTTCTACATGTTTTCCCAAGTATTCATCCCTTGAGAACTATGGGCATATGAAGGAAAATTTGATTTTTTTCTTGAGTCTAGATTTCCCAACATCAGATGAAAGGTAATAGAGAACTTATAAACACTTTTAAAGTGCCTTCATTTTAGTTTGATTTGGACAAATAAAAATAAATAAAACACTACAAAAAACATAAACATAGCAAAAAAAGCACATTAAGAAGTATGCAATAGCCTTAGTGTAAGGGAAATGCATCTCAAAACTGTAATGAAAACCTGCGGCACTAGAATGGCTAAAACGAAAAACACTGACAACACAAAATGCTACTTTAGAATGTGGAGCAATCAGAGCTCTCCTACATGCGTGTGGGAATGTAGATGGAAAAATTAGGCAAAAAATAGTCAAATAGTCAAATATACATCTTCCTACAACTCAGAAATTCCACTTATGTTTATTTAAGAGAAATTAAAGTGTATGTCCACCAAAATCTTATGCAGAAATGTTTATACAGTCTGTATTCATAAAAATAAAACAACATAGTTCAGGTGCTCATCAGCAAGAGAATAAACTTTAGAATATTCACATAATAGACTATTACTCAGGGGTACAAAAAGGAATGAATTATTGATATCTGCAATGTCATGAATGAATCTCAATGCTCAGTGAAAGAAGATAGTCAAAAAACAAAACCCATACTATATGACTCCATTTATATGGAATTCTAGAGTAGGTAAAACTAATCTACGGTGATAGAAATCAAATCAATGGTTGCTTCTGGAGGAAAGTACTTTCTAGAGTGATAAAATTTTTCTATTTCCTGATGGGTATTGGATACATGGTCATATGCATTTGTCATAACTCAAACTGTACACTAATATTTGTGCATTTTACTGTGTTTACATTATACCTCAATAAATCTTTTTTATTCAAAAAGGGAATAAGAAAACTTCTGAAATGCAAAAATCACTTTGAATGTATTTAAAATAGAAAACTTTAAAAATAAAATGCCTTGATTGAAGCTTGAAAATTTTGAATGCTTTTCCAGAGCAAATTTCTGAGTTTTGAAGCTAATATAGTAAATATTTACGATAAGCAAACATCATTTTATAAACAACCTAGAAGTATGGTTCAGCATGTAGCACAGTGCCTAGTACTTATCCATCCAATGCATCTAAATACATGCATCAAATGGTTGGATGGATGAATGGCAGTAATTTTAAAATATACTTAGATTTTTCCCATTTGTTCTTCCAAAGAAAATGGTAGCTTCATTTCCAACTTGCTTTTCCTCTGCTTATTTCTCTGTGTATCTCTCTTCAGTTTTCGAAGCCAGTGATTCTCAAACTTCAGTGGGCATCAAAATCACCTGGAAGGCTTGTGAAAACACGGATGGCTGGGCCCCACCTTCAGAGTTCCTCACTGAGTCTGAAGGGGACCTAAGAATTTACCTTTTTGACAAGTTCAAGAGATGGTGATATTGCTTGCTTTGGGAACCACACTTTGAGAAGTATGATTCAAGTGCTTCAGTTGTGAGATCGAAGATCTACCCTTTTCCTATCAACTTTCCAACTTATAATTGTCTTTCTTAACTGCCTTTGGCCCCATCTTCTGTTTTTAATTACACTTATTATTGATACCACCCATTTGCTAACTGACTCCTGCTTCCTTGTATAATAGTTTATGATTTTTGAAAAAAATTACATGTATGTGTTTTCTATTTAGGTAGATAACCTTCTCAAGGGCAGGGCCCCTGACTTCGTTCCCCTCACACCTAGAACAGGATACAGCTAATAGGTGTTAAGTCAATGCTAATAGTCCTGATACTTAACATACTCTTCTAAAGCATGTACAGATGCTATTAAAAGCAAGTACTAATATTACCTGTCATTGGGACAGTGACTTGGCAATGTCCAGTCATGGTGTGGGTTGATGAGGAAACCCCAGGACAGGAAGACCGAGCTCGGTGTCAGAGTACCAACCACCAGCTGGAGAGGTTTGCGAGAACGAGTTTTACCTGTGGAGGTGGCATACAGGTTAATTCAGGAGACATTTAGTAAGTTGCCATGATTCTGGTAAAATGCATAAAGATGACTTGGCAAGATGATGAAAAATGTGAAAACATCGAGTTCCTTTCCTTTTCTATAGTCCACATTGTTACTAAGATTTGCCCATGAATTTAAATGTGAATCAAATGAAATACCTTTTTCAGATTTGTGTCTATGCATGTCTCCATATATATATATATACATACACATGTGTATGTATATTGTACATGTACGCATATTAACAATATCCAGCTATGCCTAGTTTTATTTTCTTGTGGGTCAGGGAAGGATATAGAGGGCTTAGCTGTGATGAGTGAAATAAACACACACACACACACTTCATTTCTTTTACAGATAAAATGAAAGCATGTTTATTTTTGTTCCCGGGACTGTGAATGAGTATGAAATAACATCTAAGACAAGAAAAGAAAGCTTATTATCTAGATTGTAGGTTATAATCTTTTTTTCAACCTGTTTAGAAGTGTAGAATCCCTTGATGTTATTGTAATAAGTATATTTTACAATGAGTACCTAAATGGAAAAGGCAAATAACATTTTTTAACAATGCTGGAAGAGTAGGAGTAACACAGGAAGCACAGTTGTTCTGATGGTGCCAACTGGATCTAAATAATGCCAAGGGTTATGCTAATAAATCACTGGAGATTGTGTTCAAGTACACAGGAGCAGGCACTTGCACTTTCAAAATTATCTGAAACTGCAGAAGTAGCGCAGCGAAAAACAGGAAGTACCTCAACCATGAAAACCAACACTGACTCATTAAAAATCATTAGAGTAAATAAAATAAAAATCTGATAGAAAGTCTAATAAAACTGTATAGAACATGAAACATACATGCTTTGTATTGCTGTTGAATTCCCTCTTTTATTTCATGAGGCTATGTATGTTGTATTTGCTCTAGAAAGAACTTGTGCTATCTAATGAAGTGGGAACCAAACGGCAAAATGGCCTGCGACCTCCATTAAGGTAAGTAGGAGAGTGCCCCTTGCATTAGCCTATTGGTGGTCATCTGAATCAAATGCTCTTCAAAATTGTGCCAGGCTTGTTCCTTTTGTTAAATTTAAGTTCTGTAAGTTGTTATTCAAGCAAGAACCCTTCTTGGCACAGAATACACCTAACCTAGTGGTGGCAAATTGCCTCATTATAGGATAGTTGACTTTTAAAGATATTTGAAATAATTTTCAAAGACAGTTATCATTTACATGGTTGGAAACATGGGTTTATTCTTCTCTGTAACTTTTGCAGACCCAGCTGTAATTGTGCCCCATATGATGGTGATTTAAATCGTCATGTATGAGCTCCAATGAGGGCAGATTAGAATCTGCAGTGAAGGCAGGAGCACTTACAGTTTCAACAAGCCCTGGGGTGATTCTGATCTTCCCTTTTCAATTCCTGAGTTGATTTTCACAAATGTGATGCAATGATCTCATTCACTTTACAGATGAAAAATAAAGCACAGAGAAGTTTCAAGATTGTCCAAAGTCACACTAAGAGCAAAGTCAAAATTCAAATCCTGGGTCTCCTCTATCACGACCTAGTTTTATTTTTATGATATCACTGTCTTGGCTCTCAATGTCTAAAGGTAATGCCATTTAGCGATGAAAGACAGACATATTTTTCCATGTAAGGAACCTAAGGCTTGTGTGACCAAGGGAACCTAATGGTCCCCCAATTATTTGTATGACCAAATAACTATTTCAGTAAGGTTAAATCTTAATATAAAAATAATTAAATAATTAAAATGTATGTGGCAGATACAAATATAGAATGAACGGAAGCTAATCCTTTAGTCATTACGTTATTCCTAAATGCAGATAACAAAAACAAAAATTGTATCTGCTATCCATAAAGAAAGGTGGGGTGTTATATCCTGAGCAAGATGAAGCAATTTCCTGAGTTGGTCATAAAGTAAACAATAATTTCTAAGGCTAATGTCATAGAATCCTCAAAATAAAGTTATAAAGTGCTAAGGCATTATCATTCTCTTGACGTTCCTTATATAATTTTGTATATTTGTACTATGATCATATTTCTATCAAGAAACAGTTCAATGAGTATTCATCTGAAAACAGATCCCACGGAATCACAGTGATGTTTCTTGAGTTTGTGGCTCAGTATTTCTGAAGTACAGTCTTGAAACATTGAGAGTACATCTATTTTCAAGTATGTGGAAAACTGTCTGGACAACTCTCACTAACAGGTTGTAAGGAGCGATTGGAATTTCCCTTTTGCTTTGGGATGATCTGAGGCCAGGAAAAAGAATTAGTATTTTTCAGAATGCTTAACCACTCAATGGTGCTCTTAAAAGAAGTGGAAATCAGCAGAAAGAGGGGAGGGAATTGTGGCAACTGATTTCTGATTTAAGCTATTCAGTATAATTGAATAGCTGAGTGCTCTTTCTCCCATTTTATTCCTCTAGAAAAATACAGCAAACAAACAGAAAGATCCTTTTATTGTGTGGTATCCAGTGTACCATAAAAGATGAATGTGCTTTGGAAATAATTATTTGGAGATCATTCACATTAGAAAAATAAAAGCAGGCTGGGCTTGGTGGCTCACACCTGTAATCCCAGCAGTTTGGAAGACCAAGGAGGGTGGATCATGAGGTCAGGAGATCGAGACCATCCTGGCTAACATGGTGAAATCCCATCTCTACTAAAAAATACAAAAAAATTAGCCAGGCGTGGTGGCGTGCACCTGTAGTCCCAGCTACTTGGGAGGCTGAGGCAGGAGAATGGCATGAACCTGGAAGGTAGAACTTGCAGTGAGCCGAGATCACGCCACTGCATTCAAGCCTGGGCCACAGAGCAAGACTTTGTCTCAAAAAAAAAAAAAAAAAAAAAAAAAAGGACAAAAAGAAAAGAAAAAACAAAATTGTGTGATCAACTCTATACAGAGTTAGGAAGATGCAACATCAGATAGAAAAAGCATATTCACAGCTTCTTCCTTATAACAATGGCCAGCTATAGTATTTGATCTGAGAAGAAGTTTCGGTAGTGAAATTAGATGACATAGAATTTTAATCTTTAGTTATGTATGAAGTTTCTATTTATTTATATATCTACTTTCCTGTTTCAAGTCTTCCTAGACTGGGAAACATGGATGTTGCTATTATTTTTATTTTTATGGAAGAAATCCTTTCTTGATTGAAATGAAGAGGTTTAGAAGGGAGAGATAAGGAGTAAATAAAACCTATGTGCTGATCTATTTAACACACATACATGAGTTACCCTTTTAAAATGTAAACAGTCTCCTTTAGAAAAGGTGAGACATAAAATTGTGCCCTTAACATCTGAAAGGCACAATACTGAGCCTGAGTTCACACACTGCAAAATGGAAACAGGCTAATAGGAGCTAACCCTAAATGAGCACTGACTAGAGACCAGGCACCGTCATTAACTCATTTAATCCTCAACGACAACCCTATGACGCAGCAGAATCCAGGAGTAGAGAGGTTCAATAACTTCTGTAACTCCCTGCAGTTTGCAAGTGGTGGCACCAGGAGAAAATCCGAAGTAGTCTCCACCACCAGGCTGTGTTACCTCTCCAAAAGGGTAACCTGTTGACCCAGGGCTGACACCTCCTCTACATTTCTAAAGCTTCTCAAGGTATTTGGTCTCCATGGGTCCAAAAGAGATGAAAAGTCATGGTTCAGAGTCAATAAAAGACCAAAAAAAAAAAAAAAAAAAAAAAAAAAAATCAATGCAAAGGACTATACCTGAACATGACTTCTTTTGACTTGGAGGGGGAGCAGGTCGCACAACTATCAGATATTTCGGCTCCGCATCTGGAAACAATAACATTATGTATCAGAAAAACCCTTTAAGAACCAGCATTGAAGGCAGCACGCCCCTACCCTGACTCAGCATTCATTCCCTGAGTCACCCTCCATAACCGCAGCTCCAGGGGGGCGAACGGACTCAGTAATCTGAAAAGTTAACACTTCCTGAGAGGTTTATTAAGTCATTAAAATGAAAATTAAATCCAGATTTTCCAAACCAAATGGGCAAGGGTGAGGGAGAAGTCTTAAAAGAATCATGCTATACACAGATTTTAAATGCTGTTTTCATCAGTTCTTTTCTCTGCAAAGATATTTTTAAAAATCAGATTATGTCCATCCTGTTACACCACTCCTCAAGGAAAGCCAATCCTGATGCCCCAGAGAAGGAAACATTCTGCTTGCACAAGACACCGTGGGCCTCACCTGTATGAGCTGAAATCACTCACTTTCAATGGGAACAGGAATATTTATAATGCCCTTCTTAATTTGTATTCTGTTTATGTAATTGCTTAGCCTGTTTTCATAGCTAGTCATTTTTAATGAGCAATTTTTAAACAGTCACAATTTATAAGTTGGCATAATTTTCATTTTAAATATATTTCAATGAAATGTACTTAGGTAATCTCAAGATATTTAAGTTTTAAATAAAATTATATTAAAGCAATCAGCATATGCTACCTCAATAAGGAGCTAATAATTTATCAAATAAATTTTTAAAAATTGATGCTTGCAAAATGAATGGCTGGTTACACGTATGTTAAATAAACCAAATACATTTTGGGCATATGAAACAGCATTTTATAAGCAACTCTATTGGATTAATGGATTGATGAGTATTCTTTACAATGTTTCTCTGGAACTTTAAACTCTGAAACTCATTCTATAAGAAATTTCATTTGGATGCTGTAGTCAGCCAGAATTCACACGTACTTACTCAGGCAGACTTTATATCTTTGTTTTGTTTGCATCTTGGGTTCAAATGTCTCCCCTCCGTGAGTTTGGAGCAGAGGCCTTCTTGCCCAAGGCTTTGCAGAGCTGACCTCTTTTCAGATGGAGACAACCTGGCAACTCAACTTCTCTTAGTAACTTGTGCCTTTGTCTTTTCCAGGACACCTCACATAGCACTATTGGCTATAACCTGCTGCAGTAATTCCCACGGAATAAATTAACTTAGGCAGCCTGATGAACTCACCTCAGACCTTTGCCTCATTATTGTACAGTTGCCTCCTGCCCACCACACAGATAAAGGAGCATTCATTCTGTTCCAGTCTCGTGTGTTTGAAAGCACGTCTTGCTTGGTGAGGTTCATATAAGGAATGATGGACCCAAATCAAATAAACAAGTTTCCTAGTAGGGATACAATAACCATTTCCTGATTTCTTTGAGATATACAGCAATAAACTACCATGTACTGAGTGCTTTCTATGTGCAGGATACTATATTGAGAACCTTATATTCATAACTTAATTAGTCCCTCATGGCAATGCTACCTGGCACTACTATTATCACCTCAATTTGTAGATGAGATAACTGGGGCAGGGTTGACTTCATGGGCATGTGGTATATACAGTCACATGGAGCCCCATGCTCAGAAGGGTCCCATGCTTAAGGTCCTGCTGTCACTATCTTGACATTCTTAGTACTTTTATCTGTGAACTTGTGTTTTGTAAGGGAAGTCTGATAGGACAATAGCGCGTGCATGTGAGTGGGGGAAACAGAAGCAATAAGCATGTCTGCATTTTCTTGCCTCCCCACTCATTTAAGGCACTGGAGGAATCCATGATCACATAATTCCAAAGGAACCATGATGTGTGGGAGTTCAGCAAGACTCAAAGGTAGAACAAGGTAAGTATGTCACATTTACCATTCAGTAAAAAGGTAAGGAGGGGGACACCCAGAGCTGTGAGAGACCATACTTTCCATTCGAACCAGAACTTGCTTTAGATGCAGAAAGAAGGCAATGGCACTTTAAGGTACCAATGACCAAGAAACTCTATCATATCCTTTCTTACTCATGCCTTAGCCAACCACTTATGCTGCAAATGATAAAGGAGAAAAGGGAAAGAGAGGGAAACCCATAGTTTTGTGTTTTTTTCCAACTCTTCCTCATTCAGAAATAAGTTGAAAGAAGAGTGTTGGTAGAATGTGCACATATCAAGAAGTGAAATAAACAGCTGAATTAGTATTGTGCAGCATTTCCACTATTCTGGTAGGAACAAAATACATATGCAAAATACACATGTATAAACTGTAAAATTTGAATTGTGCAATTTCAGTAATTTCACTCAGGTGTTAAAGGCTCTTACGTTTGCATTTAAACGTGGGATTGAACAATATAAAGATACAAAGTAAACTTCATGCTAATAATTTTACATTTTTTATTTACTAAGACATCAAATAGTAAATAAAATAAATAAATAAAATCATGACAAAATGAGAAACCACAAAAAGGAAAAAGCTTTATATTTTAGTATCTTTAACAACAATTTTTTCATGCTTTTGAACCAGGGGACCTGCATTTTTATTTTGTTCTTGGCCCTGCAAGTTATGTAACTATCTTAATCAAGTCTACAAAATACTTTTTAAACAAATCTCAGGAATTCACTTTTAGAAAACAAAACTCCTAGTTTTCCTAAATTGGTCTCACTCTAGCAGAGTCTCTTAGAGTTAACCTTTTAGATTCTTTCTTGATATGGATTAATTATGCCTAATGCGTAGAGGTTTTTATAAAAAGATCTGAAACACTAGAAAAATAACATATACAGAAGCCAAAGATAGTACCATGATCCAAGACATACGGTTATATGAGCAATTTAAAAATACCTTTTGTTATGATCACAGTTAGTTTGCATAAAGCATAGGCTGTTACAGCCAATTACAAATTGGAACAAATGTCGTTACCTGGGTGCATGTGTTGGCTCTCACTGCTCATTAAATATTTCCAGCATACACGTAGTTTGGGAGTCTTTGTGTGCTACTGGGGACACAGGTGTGGAAAAATAAAACTAAAGAATGGGATTTCTCGGAGCTTGCAGTGAGCTGAGATCGCGCCACTGTACTCCAGCCTGGGCAACAGAGCCAGATTCCGTCTCAAATAAAAAAAAAAAAAAAAAAAAAAAAAAAAAATTGGATTTCTATTTCTTTTCTGTACAATAAAATTCTTTGTGGATTTACAGTAGCCTGGAAATAAATACATTGTAGACTGGAATTCTGCCAATATGTATTACTTCATTTAGAAAGATATATAATTAAAACGACAATTTAGGAAAAGTTGCAGAGAATGCAGTTACCTTAACAAAATTTCCATTTCTAATGTTTAATTCTATACAATGTTGCAGACTAATTAAATCTAATTTGCTTAATATTTTGAATGCCCTATGGTGGAGGACAGGGGCAGTTTACTGCTTAAGGAAATCTACTGTTGAAATATTTTGTTAATTACCGGATTTTTCAGTAATACTCTCATAATTACAGTTTGATAAATCCCAATTTTCACATTTTGGGTCTGCTCCCATTAGAGGACGCCTGCATTGCAAGCCTCACTGCTTCAGAATGTCGTCACAGGAAGCTTAGTTCTGCATGCAAGGTTTCTGCCATTAAAGTGTCCACAAAAGCAGCATGAAATAAACCAAGATAATTGTAAAAGAAATTAGGTAAGGGGTTCTGAAAAAGGCCCTTGCCACGTTTAACAATTTTTTCATTAAACTAAATTTCTGGACGTAAGAGCACAGACCCTGGAAACAGATTAAATCCTATGCAACTACATGCTAGTACAAGTCAAAGTACTTAACCTCTGTGTACCTCAGTTTCCTGCAAAGTAGGAAAAATCATACCTAGTTTCATAAGGTTCTTAAAGATAATTAAAGTTGTAACAGGCCAGGCATGGTGGCTCAGCCTGTAATCCCAGCACTTTGGGAGGCCGAGGTAGGGGGATCGCTTGAGCTTGGGAGTTTGAGACTAGCTTGGGCAACACGGTGAAACCCCATCTCTACAAAAAATACAAAAATTATTCACGCATGGTGATGGGCACCTGTAGTCCTAGCTACTCAGGAGGCTGAGGTGGGAGGACTGCTTGAGCCCATGAGGCAGAGGTTGCAGTGAGCTGAGATTTCACCACTGTACTTCAACCTGGGTGACAGTGAGACCTTGTCTTAGAAAAACAAAAACAAAACAAAACAAAACAAAGGAAACACTGTAACAATGTCAAACACAAAAAGCATGAATTAAGTATTAGTAACTATGGTGATCTCTAGACAGCAGAGTTTGTGTTCTACAAAGTCTAAGGATATATTACAAGAGAGGAAAATGTTCAAAAAATCTTTACAGTAAGGATCATTAGGTTCCAAAATGCAAGCATTTCACAATAAACATTACAAACCAAACTCATTCATAAATATTGATGCAAAAAATCCCTAAAAATATACTGACAGGCAGAATCTGGATCCGGCAGCATGTAATACAATAATAAATTATTACCACGTATAGTTTATCCCAGGAATGTAACATAAAGGGAAAAAAGGCTGGGTGTGGTAGCTCACGCCTGTAATCCCAGCATTTGGGAGGCTGAGGCGGGAGGATCACGAGGTCAGGAGATCAAGACCACCCTGGCTAACACAGGGAAACCTCATTTCTACTAAAAAATACAAAAATTAGCAGGGCGTGGTGGTGGGTGCCTGTAGTCCCAGCTACTCGGGAGGCTGAGGCAGGAGACTGGTGTGAACCCTGGAGGCGGAGCTTGCAGTGAGCCGAGATTGTACCACTGCACTCCAGCCTGGGTGACAGAGCAAAGACTCTGTCTAAAAAAAAAAAAAAAAAAGGAAAAAAAAAGTAACCCTATTTCCACAGGTGCTGAAAAGTCATTTGAAAAAATATAATACTAATTCTGAATAAATAAGAATTCAGTGGAATACTTTCTTATAAAATATATCTTAAAACATCTAAATCAAATGTATGATCCGATCCTCCTTTACTAAACATGCCAGACCCTTGCTGGCACCGAGAATGAT